TTTTTGACAACATAAACAACTGCATGATGGGACAAAGGAACTCAATGTCTGTTAGTCCCACTCCAAATACCAGACCAGTGTAGTATAAAACGTCGTCAGGCTAATTAGGAAGGCTACTGTGTTGCAGAAAGGGCTTCTGAAATATACCAGAATCTACTTTGAGGTTTGTATAGCAAGGGAAGACAGGAGGAAGAAAGACTCATGGATGTACAGCTAATCTACTCAGGCTTAAGTGCATGTTATGAGTTGCTGTCAAGAAATCTGTCCACAAAGCTTTGGTTTGCACTGTAAAGTCCATCCTGGCTGCTAATCTTTTTGAGGTTGGCTTTTGTATTTATAGTGACTTTAGTTAGCTGTCATAAATCTTTTTCATAACTTAGTCATTGTTTATGATTATAGAGCTTGAACATGTGAGCAAGCAGGGCCAGCACTGTAACCCATAGTCCTTACAGTGAGCTGTTTGCTAATCTAGTACCCCAATTCCAAGACCTTAGGAAGGGGTAAAAGAGTCACGACTTCACTTTAGCCACTCATCTAGGCCAGACAACTGTCACTGTCTCAAAAGAGCTCCACAAAACTGAATTCTATAAACTTAGAAACTCAGGCAAGAAATTCCTTCATACATGCATCCTTTTACATTTTACAATTTTTCTTTTTTAACAACAGCCCTTCTTTTTCACCATCCATCCATCCATCCACCCATCCACCCACCCAACCATCCATTCTCCCATGCATCCATGCATCCATGCATCCATGCATCCATCCACCCACCCATCCAGTCTCCATGAAGACAATGTTTGCTGAGTCTGAATGATATATGGGGATGAGAAGATGAGCACAACATATGCCATTGGGTTTTGCAATGATGCAGGATGCCAACAATAAATCAGAATTAGTGTTATATGTGCTAAGAATGCAGCTGCTAACCAAGAATCAGTATTGGTAGCCACAGAAGGAGGCAGCAGATGTGGTAGGACCCTGTAGGCGTACATGAGTCATGACACAGGAAGATGGCCTTCTTCTCCAGAACCTCTGTCTTCACAGAAACACCCAGTAGAAAGGCAAACCAATAAGGCAGATATGACATACTTTCAAGTTTCACTGTAAACCACACAATCTGATCATCTTGGATGCCTACTTTGAAATTTCAAATTGATGTCTCAAAACATCATTTTCTCTGATTATTAAAGTCAGACAAACTTTGGGGAAATGTAGACATGAACAGAGAAGAAAAAAACTCCAACAATCCACACACAGAAAGAAATAAGTGATTAATATTCCAGTTTTAACATATACATATGTTTTCTTCATTTATAACTGAAAAATCAAGATGTATATGTCTTGTAGCTGTTTAAAAATAATTCTTTACACTTTATTTTGTTCTCAAACATCCTTAATTAGCACATGTTCTCATTAGTGTCTGTCCAATGTGCTGGTGTATATAGATTCCACAGATTTTAGCCAATTCTCTACCGGTGACATTTAGATTCATTTGGAGCTTTCACAGTTGTTAAATTTTGCTTAAGCACACAATATATAGACATTTCTAATCAATTTGTTAGAATAAAATTCGACAAATCTGAGTGCTGTGTCACACACTGGCCAATGAGTTATTCTACTCAAGCCTTGTACTAATATGCATTCCAAACAGCACTGTAAAATGTGCTTTAATTTTTTTTCACTAAACTGTACATCACTCGCCTTTTCTCTCTTTGGTCCATTAGTATATAAGAGAAAATGGTATCAAATTGTTTTAATGTGCAGCTCTGGTTAACCATGAAAACTGTTTTTCTCCATAGCTTAATGTGTCTATCTTGCATTTTTAATGCCCTTGGCTCACATCTCTCTTCTGTAACTTTCCTCTTTTGCTCCAAGTTGTGCCTTCTGAACTATCCTGAGACTAATTCCTTCTTTATACGACACCCCCTCAAATACTTGAAGACAGCAATCATGTCTCATTTTCTCTAAGTGAAACAGCCTGGCCCCTTCAGCCAGCCCTTAAGTGGCAGTTTCAAGGACCAGTATTTAAGATGAAGAATAAGTCCTCCTGCCCCACACAGGCTATCACCAACAGTCTTGAGACACATGAAGCTCCAGGGGAACTCATCTACTGGGTGCCACCATTGCCTGTCTCTTGGGCCACAGCCTCTTTTCTCCCTATCCACAGAGGCTGAGTGAGTTTTACCACACTTGTGGCATTATTCATGTGAGATCATGGGTCTGGAGCCCCAATAAAGGGGCAGAAAAATATCAAGTTCAGAAGCAGAAGAGGAATTTTCCTGGTATAGTAAGACAGATTAACTAACTTAAGCAAAGAAAGATTCAGTAGGAATCAAGGCATCTCCTTGGCATGGATCCCAAGACTTTGGGAGTACCGATGAAGCCGGGGTGTGGGTATTCTTCAGGGCAACTCTCCTAACCTCAGCTGGCTTAGAGACTCTTCTATCCCCAAAGATGACTGTCTTATAACACTTTTCTATCCCCTCTATACACATACTCTCCCCATTTATCTGAGCACTCCTAGAAGAATGGGCCTGGGGTTTGTAGCCCTGAGACACTTGCTAAACAATGTCCACACACAGGCCATCAAACATACTGGATAATGGAGACACTGCTGCCTGTCTCCTTTCAAGGGCTACAGTCTTTTGCTCTTATTTTCATCTCCTGGAACAAGCTCCTACTACAGACCTACTTTCTTAAGCACTATGTGATGTTCCCATGAACAATAGCAGACAGGAGCAGCCATGCCATTTACAAAAGGCCCTATCCCAGCACTGCATTGCTCCTTGTAATACTTCAGTTGCTTGGGACTATTTGTACTCCTGGGGTCTGACTGGTTCTGTAGTACCATCAGAACTGAGTGAATGGATATCCTAAGCTGAGGGCTGGATGCTTTCTGAATCTCTGTCCCTGAGTGTGGCTCAGGCCTTTGGCAAACAATATCCTGTTAGTCTTATAAATTACACTTCCTGTGCTTTAGAGAGGTCTCTTGGGGGCAGGGGAGATGGTACAGCAATTGAGAGCATTGGCTGCTCATCTAGAGGACCTTCATTGGATTCCCAACATGGTGACTCACAACATCTGTTAACTCCTGTCCCCAGGGACCTATCTCTTGCAGGCACACTTACACAGTGTACAGACACACATGTAGGCAAAACAGCCATACACATTAAGAAAAAAATGTTGTCAAAAGTTCATGAGTCAGAAACTTGAAACCCCAAATTCCTATGTTGATAGTATTGGGAAATGAGGCCATTTGGAGGGGGTGAAAGTTAAATCAGATTCTATGGTGACCTCATGATGATGGTAGTGGCTTCTTAAGAGAGAAAGGCTGTGTGCAGTGGCACACTCTAATCACAGTATTTGGGAGGCAGAAGCAGGTGGATCTCTGTGAGTTCAAGATCAGCCTGATCTAGATCATGAGTTCCAGGCCAGCCAGGATGTATAGTAAGATCCTGTCTCACAAAATAAAATAAAATAAAATAAAATGAGAGAAACCTAAGATCACAGGTTCCATGTGTCAGTTCTCTTCCCAGATGACACCTTCTGCCATAATCTGACGCACAGCCAGAAGACCCCTGCCAAATGCAGCCCCTTAGCCCTGAAATCTTTGCCCTTATAACGATAAGAAATTTCTTTTTATTGTAAATTACTCAGTCTGTAATATTTTTTTGTGATAGTAATCCAATAAAGCCCAAGATAATGCTTAAGTAGAAAAATATCCTTTTAACTGACAGGTTTTTTTTTGTGTGTGTGTGTGAATATATGTATATACATACACAAAGTCAGTGTGGAGTGTTTAGATTGTAGAATTTTGAATTGCAGGTGCTCAGACTCTGGCAATTCCATAGCACTGTTGTGATCTAATTACATCTGACATGGCAAACACTCAACAGTCATTATTGTTAGGATTATATGGTGCATTCCAGAACTTCAGGAAGATGCTGATGATATTTGTGGACATCGAAAACTCATTCTTTGGAAAACGGTAAGCAGTATGGAGAAATTATCTTACTTCCAGACAACCTATGGCACGGATGAAAATCGACATGCCAGGTCAGAGGTACAATCTGCTGAACAACGAGCAGCAAAGTGTCACTCCCCCTATAAAGCAGGCAGTGTCAGAAAATCAGTGAAGGAAGGATCACTGCATATCCCTGCACTGGCCAGAGAGGGGTCTTGTACAATCCCCTCCAAAACACACATCCAATTCACAGTCAACACATTCCACAGCTCACTGCACAGTAGAGGCAATGCCACATTATCTAGCCACTTTATCTTATACTCCTTATTTTCATTTGCCTGCAAATGACCAGCTTACTATATTAACTATATTTATTCCAAGCACTAGGCTGGCTATTGATATTTATTCTTTAATTGTATTGTGGCCACAGGCTTTGTGTTCTTTTCTTTGGGGAATTACTATGCCACATAGCAATACTTTTGTGCTTTAATATTCCCTGTATGGATACATGAAATTTTATTCATCTATTCACCACTTATTGTTTATTCAGGTTGTTTTAACTCTTTGTCCATTATGAATAATTGTTTGTATTCAAATTTCTTTGCAGACCTAATTGTGAAGTCATACAGTAATGGCATGCTTACCATTTTGAGACTGGTTTTCCAAGTGGCTATGCTGTTTTACATTCCCACCAGCAAGGTATGATGGTTTCACTTCTCTTTTTCCTTGCCAATGCTTGTTATTATCGTATCTCATCATGATTTTGACATGTGTCTATAGGAACATGGTTGCAACTACCATTTTAAATCTCCACACTATCTTTTCAGAGGTTGATGATGCAAAGGCTCCTCTCACTCCACTTTCTGGAAACCTATGTCAGATAGTGGGGCTTTCTCCAGTATCAAAAATGACATTATAACCACAAAGAAAAAGAACAATACTTTCCTGCTTTTTCTCCAAGAATGCTCTTAACCCAGTATTACAGTTGGAGGTGAAGGCATTACCTTCTTGGAAATACATCAGCAGCTCTGCTCACCTGCTGGTGGCCAAGCCTTGATGTAACCTGTGCAGTGGACCACAGCATACTGGGCTTCTCCTTCTTTCACAGGGCCAAGGCCATTCCTGAGAAAGGACATACATGAAGATGTCTTCATCAAATGGGAATAAAGCAACATGATGATGACCCCTTTGGTATCTAAGCTACCAGTTTCCTTGTTTCCTTTGTGGTTTTAAATATTGATTTCCTACCATCCTGACTTTCATCTTCTACTAAGGCCTGAAAGTCAAACACAAATTCCGCCCAACTCCCAGTTCTCACCACAGGCACTGCTATCCCGACACATGTCCTCTTGGTCCTCTACTCTTAGCCCCTCTTCAAGCTGAAATATTCTCCAGTGTGGGGCCATCATGCAGCTACTAGCATAGTTCCCAAGCACATCACAGAAAGGGATGCCCACCTGAACCTTTTCCGCATGGTGGTTATTCTGTTCAAAGGCAGGTGGTCCAAGGGGGCGTTTCCACACCTAAGAGTCAGCACAAGTGTTAGAACTAGGGAGGATGTGGTAAATATACAAAGATATGGTACTACTGAGACAGACAAGGGGAAGCCACCTCTCCCTGAAGCATTAGGCAAGTGTTAAGTCCTTTAAAATAACTATTAGTGTAAGCTCTTTGTGTGTGTTCAAGTAGTGTAGGTGCATGTGGGGGGTGCACATGTGTGTGTGTGTGTGTGTGTGTGTGTGTGTGTGTGTGTGCAGGAGAGAACACAGGTTCACTGGGCTGTAGCTCACTAAGTGAAGCTGGCTGGTGGCTGAGCCCCAGGGATGCTCATGGTCTTGCATCTCCAATGCTAGGATTACTAAAATGTGCCTCCATACCCTGTTTTTTTTCACATGGACTCTAGAGATCAAACCCAGGTCTTATTTTTTAAGGCAAGAAATTGACTGACTGAGACATTTTGCCAGCACATATGAAGAATTCTTTAATTTGCAAACACTTTTTCTGACATTCATCTTCTTATAAATAAAGATGTTGAGGTACAGGGCAGGGGAATTAAACTTTTTCATCCACAGCCATTGGAGATCCTCTTGCATCTGAGCTGATCTTGAGCTAAAGGAGTACTAGTCAAACAGCCAGTTAGAGAACCAGTCTGTGAGCAGAGGCTGCTCTAAACACTTCGTAGACATCTTGTAAATACTACTCTCAAAGGTGTAGCCCTAGCCAGAGCTCTTTGAAACAGTTTATTACTGAAAATTTTAACTGTTAAAAGCCTGGCTGAACTCTAGATGACCCTACAACTATTTGTACCTAAGCCAGGAGGGGAGCACTTCTGGTGGCTAGAAGACTGGAACTAGAGGGGTAAGCCTGTGATTGGAGGCAAACAGTAGCCTGCATTTGCATGCACGGATTGCTAGGATTGATGCAAAGACCCTTTCCAGCAACATATAAGCACACTCTTCAGCTCCCTGTGTGAGCCATCTGGGGGACACTCTCCTGCTAGTACATCAAGCCCAATGAAAAGCTTTCCTGGAACAGTCTTTCCTTAATTACTTTTTGTTGTTGTTGTTGTCATCTTAATTACTTTGTTATTATTACAGCTTGAGCTGGTAACACACAAAAGAGAAGTAGCAGAGATAGCAGAGCAGTGAGTGGTGAAGGCAGAGGCAGGAGAGAAGCAGTGCCAGTGACAGCTGAGCCACCAGCAGACTGGACTGAGTAAGTGGCAGGATGGCCAGCTGCTTGACAGCAGACGGCTGGAAGCCTGCAGTCAGAGAAGACAGACAAGAGTGACTGTCAGTCTTGTTATTGGGAGATTTCTATAGTAGTCTGGCTTTTGGGGTCAAGACTCTCAGCCTGGGAGCTGTACCACTTTGTTATCACAGGCCAAAGAATATAATACCTAGATAGACCAGAAACTGTAGCTGCAGCCAAGAGCTGCAAAATCTCATTATCTTAGACCAGCACACGAGCTTTAGCATTTGCAGGGCTAAAGATCCTTTTACCCAAGACCTGCACAAAAGCTGTAACCCTAAAAGATGCTTCCCACTGCTGCTTTTGCCTGCTGCCACAAGATGCTGTCAAACATCAAGTGATACAAAAGTTACCTAGGACCAGCACTTGTAAAATTTCTCCCTTCCTCTCACTTTCTACCTCAGTGAAAGGTGTGGGTTTCCCCCCACACTGAGGGGATAACCCTGATAACCCTGCTATCAAGTAGATGGTTCTCAACTGCTATATGTTTACTCAGAAAAGTCCCATGGCTAATATCCTTCCAAAGGGCAGAAGTGGGCTTGCCTGCTCTTGACTTGTGACTGCCATTAGAAGGAGAGTTTGGCTAAATTTTAACATGCACAAGAAACATTTCACAGTCTATCTTAGTAATAGAGAGTTGCAGAAAGACTAAAGGAGAACCCTAGCTATCCTTTCACAAGAAACATTTCACAGTCTATCTTAGTAATAGAGAGTTGCAGAAAGAACCCTAGCTATCCTTGGCTATCCTTTGTCCCACAGATTGTCTCAGTGGAACCCGTGGCTTTGTGGAAAGGGGGAGGGTGATGATAGTAGCAGTGTCTGTTCAGGCCTGAGTAGAGGCACCAACTCAAAACAGATGTTGACAGCTGAATGAACAGTAGCGTTTTCCCAGGCTTGAGCATCATCACATTGTGGATACCCCTCCCCGACCAGGGCTGGCTGTAGGAACAACCACACAGCTGGAAGCCTGCTGACTGCAAAGGAGAGGATGGAGACAAGAGACCCATCTATAGTCATAGAATCAGGTCTTTCTGGGGGCCCCTCCATGGGGACCAGAGGATGAAGCACTCTCCTCAACAGCAGGATATCCCTGGTCACTTCTCAATGACTCTCTCAGCATCTCAGGTATCAAGCATCCAGGCTCTGGCCACCACTTGGAAGGCCCATTTGCTAAGTGCATTTCCATTTCCCAACTACATGACAAGTGCCAGCCTGGATGTCTTCATTGGCAACATGCAAAAAATAATGTCCTTTTGTGTCCTGAGACCTTGGAGAGCTGCCAGCACTAAAGTAGTTTTCATAGCAGGATCAATCTGCAACACTGCCACCCAGGGATGCCAAAAGGGCCCTCTGCCCCTTTCTGGTAGACTGTGCCCAGTGTCCTGAGAAAATTGTGTTGCTTTGTTCATGATGTCATGCCCTAGGCACAACAAAGTGCTGCACAGATGAGCAGCTATGAGGATGTTCTCTGGAGGTATGCCTGGGCTTGGAGAGATGGATAAACTAGGTGGTGACAGTGGCACTGTAACTGCTAATAGAAACTGTGTGCGATGATGCCTCCAAGCGGTTCATTCATGGGATTAATTAAGAATTTATATCACTTGGGCTTACTAACTGTCCTCAAGCTAGGATAAGAGGATCCTGCTGATAATATTTGTTTCTGGTGGGATTCTGAGCATGAGTCCTATGTCCAGCTCACTTGTGACACAAAGCAGGCAGCCAGTGAGACTCCATCTTAAGTCACAGAGGCCATTTATACATTGTCACTCCAGTGCCTTCCTGTCACCTTGCCAGGGCTTTCTGGAAGAGGTCCAGCATTCAGCCTGGAGAGAAGCAGATGCAGGGGAAATAACAGCTCTCTTACCAGACCCCTAAAGGAAAATAGTGTAAAAGATTCTGTAGACCCACCTAGGGATAAGAAGCAGGCAACTTTGGTGATATGACTTGTAGATTTGTATAATTGTCTGTCTGTCTGTCTGTCTGTCTGTCTGTCTGTCTGTCTGTCTCTCTCTCTCTCTCTCTCTCTCTCTCTGTATACATGTATACAGGCACAGGTGTTCAGATATACACATATCTGTGTGGAGACCAGAGGACAACCTTAGCTGTTCTTTCTCAAGTACTATGCACTTTTTTTTTTTCCTGAGACATGGTCTCTCACCTAGGACTTGCCCAGCAGGCAAGCCCCAAAAGTCTGCCTGTCTCCACCTCCCCATTGCTTGGATTACAAGTGCAAACACCACCATGCTAGACTTTTCTTTTTTTAACTAACAGAACTATCTCTCCATAAGGAATAGATTTTGTTAAAACATACGCTGGTCCAAAAGGAAAAATAAATACCCACTTTAAAGCAATTTCTGCTTGGAATGTTATATACCCACAAAATGTTCAAGTGTTAAGTCACTTCTGGCAGCAGACAACTGAGCAAAAGTGACATTAGCCAGTGGGATGGACAGCTCAGTGGGTTCACACAGCTTAAAGGGGAGAAGAGAAGGCTAATGGTGCAGGCACTGGTGCTGCTAAACTAAGATGGTGCAGAATCCCACTGGTCAGGAGAGGTGTTTGAAGACAGCCCAGGGGAAATGCATCCCAGAGCAAGCTGCATGGAAGAGAGTGGGTGTGCCTTGCTTGCCTGCCTGTGGCTCCAGCTTCTGCTTCTCACACTGAGGAGTAGTCTAGAAGCCTTGGATCTTGCGTTTGGGACTCAGCAGTGGTGCTTCAGATACTTAGCTCTCTCTGGATTCCCTCCCACCTACCTGGATGCTCAACTCGGCTTTCTGCCACTGGGGAAGCAGGGCCCCAAGTGCTGTCCTTTGATGTGCTCTCTCCATTACCTTCTAGTGACTGTCCCCCATGCTCAGTTGCCATCTCAACATTGATCCCCGAGTCCAACCTCAGTCTCAGCATTTTCTCTGGGTACTAGAGTTACACATGCAATTGGCCTCTCATCTTTGCCATTTAGTTGTCTGGTTGGTACCTCAGTCTAGTAATGATGACTACTCCCCTTCACCCCAGAGGAGCTCCCAGCCATCTTTTCCATCTTAGTAATGGCACCCCATTTCTCCAACAGGACAAGACACAGAATAATCCCATATCTGACCTATCTCATTATTTTATGTCCTACACATGGCTGGTTGCCCATCCTATTGCCACCTATCTCATTATTTTATGTCCTACACATGGCTGGTTGCCCATCCTATTAGATATCTGCAAGTATGTTATATATCTCACTAGCCATTATCACCTTAATGATAAAAAAAGCTGCCTTGACATTTCTTTTTCTCTAGAAAGAACCAAATAATCTTTCCCCCTCCCATCCTTCTCTCTCTCTCTCTTTCCCTTTCAGATTTTGCTCATGGTGAGGAGTCCTGGGTCCAACTGTCCATGAATTCAAGCAATAACTATATACAAAACATTCTATTGAAAGCCAAGGAGGTGCAAAGAGTCATAAATCATCTGGGAAAAGGTGACTCAAGTTTGTAAATCCAGCCTGCAGGAGGCTGAGACAGGAAGATCAAGAATGGGTACTAGTAGATGCCAGACTGGTCTACATACATGGTCATCCCCAAAACAAAAAAGTCTAACAGGTATAAACCACAGCCTCTATCCTTAGGATGATGTAATTGAATCATGAAGCCAAACCATTTACATTTAAAACATAAACCAACGGGGCTTGGAATGTGGCTCAGTCAGTAGAGAGCTTGCCTAGCATACAGGAAGCTTTGGAACTCCAATGCCATATAAACCAGGCACGGTGGCCCACCCCGTTGTCTCAGCATTTAGGAAGTGAATACAGGAAGACCAGAACTTCAAAGTCACCTGCATCTGGAAGAGTTTGATGCCAGCCTGGGACACATGAGACCCTGCCTCAAAAATGCAAAACAAAATCAAAACTGATCAATAGCAGTTGGGGACCAGTTTAAAAGGTGTGAGTTGTTATAGGAAATACAAGAATAAACATGGGATCAGTGGTTTCAATATAAACCATATTGAGGAATATAGAACCTGGAGAGGCAAAACATGTGCAAAAGGCCTCAAAGTACAGTCAGGGGAAAAATCGCCAAGTATGGAAGAGCAGGGTTATTACACTGGAACAGAGTTATTAGACTGGAACAGGGTTATTAAAGGTACTGCACTGAGGAGGTGAAAGCAGGAGAGCCAGGAGTCCCAAGCCAGCTTGTACTACATGGAGAAATCCCCAAAAGTCAACGGCTGAAGAATAGCTCAGTGGCAGAGTACTTTCCTGGGAGACACAGGCCCTGGGTTCAATCCCCAGCACAGTCCCTGCCTCCCTGAAAAGAAAAAGACAAACAAACAAACAAAAACCCAAGAACGTGCTGGTGTGGTGGTGCACACTTTTAATCCCAGTACCTAGGAGGCTTAGGCAGAAGCATCTTTGCTAGTTAGAGGTCAGCCTGGTCTGTATAGCAAATTCCAGCCCCAACTAGGACTACATTGAAAAACAAAAAACAAAAAAATTTAAAAGATCAAGAAAGAGAGAGAAGCAGAATACAGCATACAAAAGTGTGAAGACAGAATGGGTGGGAAATGGTGAATTATTGGGAGGGACAGGAGGCAGAAGGGGAGTCTTCTCATGCTGGGTCAAGAACGCCTGAAGTTGAGAGCACAAGGTTGAGTGAAGCCCCCTGGCCTTGGCCTTTGCCAACCCACAAACCTCATCCTACAGATGAAGGAGCGCCGAGAGCCCATGCACATGCGCATGGATGACTGCTGTCCTTCCTTCTTCACTGTCCCAGTCTTCAGGTCCAGGATGCGGCCTGAGGAAGAGAGAAGCACAGTAGTTGTGAGCCTCTGCCTGAGATCAGGGTTGGGGAGGGAGGGAGAGAGTTCTCCAAAGATCTGCCATGCAAGGACAAGCTGTGCAAGGCTGAACAGATATTTTCCTGGCATCTCCAGTGTTCTTGGGCAGAAACTTACAGGGAAATGGAATCCATACGGTTCACAAGGCCTTGTTTTCTTCAGTGAAATCTCTACTTGTCAGCTGTACTGTTGGATTCCTGAGCCCCAAGTCACTTTAGTTTGGCCACCTCCTCCCCAACCCCATGAAAACAGCTTTTGCCAAGGTCACTAACAACTTCCCCACTGCTGAATCCAAAACACATCTTTCCTTTATTTGATCTGGCTGCTTTGCTGAACTTTGCAAACTATACATGGATCTCTTTTAAAAACAAAACAAAACAAAACAAAACAAAAAACCTACCAAGCCAGGCATGGTAGCACTTGCCTTTAATGCCAGCACTCAGTATACAAAGGAAGGTGGATTTTGGAATGTGCACGGCCATTCTGGTTTATATAGTGAGTTCCAGGTAAGTTGGGGATGCATAGCGAGATTTTGTATTAAAAAACAAGCAGCCCTTCCAACCTGAACTTCTCATTCCTTCCTGGCAGCTCTGCTTATTCCCTGGGAGTTCTTTCTCTCTCTAGGGGCTCAATCTCTTCCATCTCTTCTTGTCATTCTATATATACAGCCCTTGTGCAGTTTTATTTATGCCAAAGTCTTAGAGGTCACCTCTGGATGCCAGTGACCTAATGTCTTCTCCCATAGCAGCCATTTCAAGTCCATTGCTTGTAGAGCTACATCACTAGCAGTTAATTGTGCAGCTACAAGGCAGCTTCACTAGCTCCTTCCAAAACAGGCTCCCCAAACCAGCATGAGTGTCACCAGAAACTGCAGTCTAAGCCAGAGAGCTAGACATTGTCTCTGTCCTCACTCCCTATTGTGTGCTCGGCCTGTCTTCTGCCTCCCTGGCCTCACTCACCTATCTTATTCTCACTTTCAAGGAAGAAATATTTCAGAATCTCCACATATGTCTCTGACACCAGTAAATTTTGTTCTACCCCTTAATCCCTTCCCATTCAACCATTCCCAGTGTCTTCATTTCCTGTTGTCTACAGCCTCCAGGTATGAACAATATCATAACTGTTTCATCATAGACAAGAGAGCAAACAGAAGCCTTCAGTGACCCAGAAGGTCCTATCTTCTCTCTTCATCGGCAGGCAGATTGCTCTATCCACACTCATGGTCTGTAACTTGGACTCCTCCCAGTGGTGGATCCTGAAACTTGCCTTTATCCTACAGCTCCATGGATACCCATCTAGTCCAGGCAACAGGGAAATCTTAATGCCAATTGTAAAATATATGCCTTGGTGTGTTTCCTTTGTCCAACTTTTCAACATGACCCTGATAATTTTTTTGCCCAGGAACACCAAGACTTCCAGATAACTCCTCATTTGTGAGGGAGGTTCCTCTTCCTCAGCCCTTACCCTCTCTTGGTGCTGGGCCTTGGACCTCCTCCTTGTTATTTCCCTTGAAAGATCTTTGGTGACATGTTCTACTACCTTCTACATACAGATGACATCATGACACCCATCTCCAGAGGTCAAAGACACTCCCCTTTAACCAGAACTCTACAGAGGCTCTGAGTCCACTTTTAAACTGGGATTAGCTTTGGGCTTCCCCTTCTGGCATGAAAGGAACAGTTTTGGAAAGACTCCTTAAGATAAATCGGTGTTACAAGTTTGCACAAGTGACCTCAAAGGTCCATGTCTTAAACACGTGGTTCCCAGAATGATATTATTGAATATGGTAAACCTTTTAAAGTGGGGCCTAGTAGATGGTCCTTAGGTCACTAGGGGTGTGCTTCTGATGATTATGGGACCATGGTCTCTTCTTCCTTGTGTGACCTAGCTTGTGTGTTAGGCAGGTATGCTCTGTAGCACACACACCCACCACCACTGTCATATAGCACCCCATTAGAGGTCCAAACTTCCATTCTGTGACTGGAACCTCCAAAGCCATGAGCCAAGACAAACATTTTATCTTTAAGAATTATGCCAGGTATTTTATCATAGTAGTGGGAAGCTGAGTAACACTTTTGGGCAAAATCTCCACCCTCAGTATCTGGCCTCCATTGATATCTTATCACTGTTGCCTGCATTCAGTAAGAATTCTGCTGAGTGGGTCTAGCAAGAATTCTCTTTACTCTAATGTTTGTTCTTAGTAATTCCCTACCCAATTAGCCTTCACCCTTTCTTTGGTTCTAAATTTCTGTTTTTCCTTGTTGGGGGTTGGAGTTCAGTATTCTCTCTTCCCTTGATGTAGAACTCCACTGCTGTTGTTTTTGCAGCCTTCACTATGTGCTTGACCAGAGTCTTTCTCAGCATATTTGACAAGCACAAGGCAGCCAGACCCCTCTTAGAAGCTCCAGGATGTCTCGCAGTCTCTTGGCATCACAGACATTTTATCATTCACAGGTGCTCCAAAGCTGCCCTTTCTCCATGGCCTTCACCCTTACTACTCAACTGCTCAGATCCTCCACGGAAGAACATGAAGGACTTGAAAGATGGCTCAGTGGGAAAGAATACTTGCTGTGCAAGCATGAGAACCCAAGTCCAGACCTCAGCACCCATGTAAAATAGCTGGGCATAGCTATATATGTTTGCAACTCCAAGGGTATTAGGGGATGGAGACAGGACTGCTGGGGCTTCATGGCTGCCAGACTAGATCAAGGTTCAATGAGAGAGAAAAAGGTGGAGTGATAGATAGTCAACATACATGGTAGACTTAAACACAGTCATACCTTTCTTGAAAATCTCTCATGCTCCCCACCAATGGTCTCCCAAATCCACATCTCATCCCCTAGTATGAGAGTATATAGTCTGGCCTCTGCTCACCTCAGGACTCTCCTTGGCTCTGCCTGGAACCTGGCTACCTGGTGCAATTCATGGCTTCCTAGTGTGCTCCTGGCTACTCCCTTGGCCCGGAACAGCCCCCTCTTTGACTGACTCCAAGCTCTGACTCATGACACCCACTTGTTACCTCGGTGATCACAAAGAGTCACTCAGCACTAACAATTCACTTACTTAAGTACAGAGAAGGCCATTACTATTGGTGTGTGAGAGAGGATGGAACCAAATAGAAAGCAATGGAACAGGATAGAACAGACTTCCAAACAGAGATAAATGTTAATGACTGACATGGTATGAGAAAGTGGCCTGAGAGGCCCCTCTTTCGGGGTCAGTTAAGTGAGTCCCTCTCACTAGAAAGAGAAGGGCATTGAGAACTTCCTTCCTTTAGTTTGGACCTGCTGAGCTAATGGAGGAAGGAGATGGAGGATGACAAGTATGTGTAACTCTGGCAGTCACCTCCCTGGATTGCACTCCTGCAGCATGCTGTGCTTTCTTGAGCTGGCTCTCTGGTACTGTTTGGCAAATATGGTTCTGGACTGGGTCTGATCAGCTTGTGTCCCCCAACCCCCCCCCCCCGAAACCCTGGGACATGGCAGCCTTCTCTGCAGATGTGGAGTACAGCTTTGTGAGTGCTTACTTTATACTGACACCAGAATCACCATCTTACCCACCGCTGAGGGACACCTCTAAGCAAGGTGGGCACACAGACTTCAACTCCCTCTGGAGGTGACACTGAACTTGGAAACTGAGTGACCTTGCAGAGCAGACCTGGAGCTCTGCTGACTGTGCTATCTGCTACTCTGGTTTTGACACCTGTCTGTCTCAGTCACAGACAGCATCTTTTACAGCCCTTTTAGTGTAAACCATCACTTGCTTTATCATCAACCAAATGGCAAGAGGTTTCAGCTGTGAAGCAGAAGGCAGGAGGGTCTGTCAAATTCCAAAGTGCTCTGAAAATAAATCCCAGCTGTGAAGTTCTCTCGTGTTGCAACATGAGGAAATGAACAAACACATCTCCATGAGCTGCTTGGGGGACCCTGAGAGACAACTGCCCCAACGTATGTTTCTCCACGTGCTTCTTGGGTTTCCTTGGGCCCAGTGAGCCCCCACTCCAGACTCCTCAGGAATGCAAGCACGCTTGACTGTCTTGTAGGTGTGCTCCTGAGAGGGGTGTGTGGACTGGATCTGACAAACTTAATAGTGAAGATGCATGAAGGCAGGTGGCCATCCCAGGCCCTGGGCCCTGAACTGAAAACTGAGCTAATACAAATGCATCTCTGCTCATAGGCCCTAGGGCTTGGGCTGACTCACAGTGGGGCTTCAGAAGGAATGAATGTGGAGACCATGCTAAAGTTTAACTCTTCTGACCCATCACGCCTTGGGGCTGACTGGTTTAGATGCCCCAGGCTAGTGCCAACAGATACCTGGCAGCAGTCAGTTGAGGCCAGTGCTGACTTCTTCCAGCATCCCTTTTCTACCTCCATCCTCCTCCTCATGGACAGGATGACTTGTTTTCTTGAAGTTCCAGGGGCTGAACCCAGAGCCTTCCTCATGCTAGGCTAGCACTCTACTGTTGAACAACATCCCTATTCTAAGGTGGGAGGACTTGTGTCTCTGGCTCATCCCACCTTTTGCCTTCCATCTTCTTCTCCTTGACTGGACCCCATAGTCATCTCCTATTTCCTTTATGCTTGGCCCATGCCCCCTGCTATCCTGCCCACAAGGTCTCCCAGTGCCTTCTAAATGCTCCCCTCACCCAAAACAAGCTGCCTTGTGAATAGTCAGCCCTTCACAGAGATTCCCTCAGCCAATGCCTCAGTAAGAACCAGGATGACCTCTTGCTGTCCACACAGTTGTCCCTGCGACAGAATGCCAGAATGCTCTCTCTCTCTCTCTCTCTCTCTCTCTCTCTCTCTCTCTCTCTCTCTCTCTCTGTCCCTCAGACCTCTGCTGATCCTTGCATCTGCTGTGCCCAATTGCCACCCCTCTGTGACTTCAGTCCTCCTGCAACAGACACCCTTCCTCCTTCACTTTAAAGGTTTTCTTTGTTTTAGAGATGCTGGGGACA